GGTATGTGACCTCGCTCCTTGTGTGATGCATTACGCTGAATTAACTTAGGACTAATACCCTCGCAGTCAGCATTATTGGCCTCATTGGTTTCCAGATGTGGGTAAAGATTATGTGACTAATCCAGCTGTGCTAAACATGTTTGTTGTTCGTTTGTTTGTATTTATCTGCAAGAAGAAGTGCCAAGAACCCAATAACATGAGAGCGAATGTGATGATGGCTACGGCCAACATCTTTGTGTCCTGTGTCTAACAGATGTCAATCCACACTGTACTGTCATTGGTCATCTGCTACTATGTACTCACCGGTACTACAGTGATGAGTTGTCCAGCATCATGTAGGTGTACTGGTGTACCTTGGTACACTGTAAATTGCAACGATGGCCGATTAACAATGGTGCCGGGTGGAATACCGAATACAACAATAACTCTGTGAGTCACCCATCTTGGAATATGCCATTCACACTTTCCATATTTGTTCCTCTGAATTGTTGGCGTTTGCAATGTTTGAATTCTTTTATTCTCACGATGGCCTGTGGCCAATAAGAGAAAAATAATTACAGGCACGGGGATCAGATACAGAGAGATCAAAGTTTAGCTGCTTGCTGAGGCAGTAGCGATGGCAATACTAATTGGGAGTTAATCACGTAGGCTGGGCGCAATGGAGCTATAGATGTGCTGAGCAATGTGAGCAAGTACATACGGAAGAGATGACAAGTGGTAGGATGTTTGCTTTGAAATCTCGTCTGGGGTTGATTTGCCGGATGTGATGAGATCATCTGCTCAAAGCTCCGTATGTGATGGATATTCATGATCCATTGTTTATTAGAAAGCTCAGGACAAGAAGAAGCCATTGTAGCAAGTCGCATCTCAATTTTTTAACACTCTCACCACCAGCAATACAGAAATCGACCCATGGCGGTCGTTATCAGAAATAATTTGAACACACTAAAATGTTTTCAGTTCATTACAAATTGGGGATCAACGTTGTTTGAAGACCTGGGCTTTCGAGCAAAAGCATCGCATTAACTCCTTGGTGAAGTATCGTTGGATGACAAAGCTCAAAGTGTTGGTTCACATATCGCCGGTACGCGCCGGGAGTCACCGGGAGTGGGCCTCTGGCAACTTATCCCGGCGCATTGCGATTATGTGAACCAGTGCAGTCGTAACAAAATCATACGGTAAAATATCGCAAGCGACCGCCGGCAAAGTTGGACACTCCCCAACTCTTGCGATTTGCCCCGGCGCCGATCCCGTACAATTTTGACCAAAGGTGGTTTGTGATCCGTTCGCGCCGGTGATCGCCGGTGTCGGTAGACAGACTTTGTCAAAATTTCAAACCAAGACTCATCCTAAATTTTCTTAATTTGAAGATAAATGTTAGGTACCTCCTCCCATACAATCTTACCTACAACCTTTCCTAAGCTCGCCGGCCGGCATGCACCCGTACTACGTCATACTCACTTTTCATTCCGTTGGCCTGGGTAGCTACTTGCGCGCCCATGTTTGCCATAGCTACCCAGGCTCTTTATATTGCGTTGTTTCTCAGTCGAGCTCTCTCTCTCTTCAATAATCTCGCTCTCGTCAATAATCATAATGTAGTCGTAGTAGTTCGTCTTTGTCTCCATCTCTTCCTCTACCCTAATAAATGTCGTTCCACCTACCTGTCCCGTTGTGAATTGTGTCTGGAGAATATTGGGTGTAATCTACACTCAACATTGGCGCTCGACCGTTGCTCGGAACCCATGACCCTCTTGCTCTGCCGCCCGGCATTCGTCTCGTCGTCAGTCTCGTCTAGTCTTCAACCTCGTCTCGTCTCTGTCAACCTCGTCTCGTCTATGTCTACCTCGTCTTGTCCAAGTCATGCAGGTCAGCTATTTTTCATTGTTTCTCTCTCTCTCTCTCTCTCTCTCTCTCTCTCTCTTTTTCGTGCGTCCTACTTCGTCCAATGTATTTTCAGTTTATTTATTTCAAGAGTCGGCGTGGAGAAAGCAATTTTATGAGTACAATTACGAGTATAATAGATGCAGACATGGCCAGACAACAACGAGTTATGCCTCATTTCTTGTTGGATGAGAGCAACGAAGTAAACAAGGAATTAATGCTGTTCTTTTCGAAACGCGAGTGCACAGTCCAGAGTTCACGGACTGTGCTGGGAGTGCAGTACGCACTGGCTGCACAGTGCGGAGTTGCAGCATACACATGAAGGTGCGTGCTGGTCTAAAGAAAGTGTTCTTTTTGTTCTTGCACTGCTGCTGTACAGGGGCGTTCTTTTTGTTCTTGGAGCAGCTGTTGCTGCGACCCTGCTGTTGCTGCGACCCTGCTGTTGCTGCGACTCTGCTGTTGCTGCGACCCTGCAGTTCTATTGTTGTTGTTATAGTGTGTACGAGAGAGTCGAAAAGAAAATGGAATTTTAAAGGATTTTTATTATTCAAAATTAACTCGTGGTCTGGCCATGTCTACATCTATTATACTCTTTATTTATTTCGTGATTTTTTGTAGTGTGTGTGTGCGCGCATGTTTCCCGCCATCAATATTATGGGTCCGTGGGTGAGCCACGCACTATCATTCTGGTTGCAAAAAGTGCATAACTAATCTGTTTAGGCATGCGAAGCAGAACAAACTGTAGTGCATGTAACGGATGATCAAAACACTGCATCAACACAAAATCATTTTGACATTATCTTCATCTTCTAGTGAAGGAAGTTGTCAGTCACTGCAGCTTTCCTGAGACAATTTCAACGGAAAAGAACTGCGCTACCTAATCCGCGTCATGAAAGGCCGTCGGGCAGCAGCACGTCGTTCGGAAGAACGGAAGTGAAGCATAGGCTAGGCATAGACAATATTTACAACAATAGTGTTGTTGTGCGCCAACAATCAAACCTTTGCAATTTGCCTCGCACAGGCTTGTATCAAATTTCGAGAGAAGGTGGGTTTCTTGAACGCTATAGTCGATCCTGCAGAGGACCATCGATCGTTTTTTGAGCTACTCTTGGCTAGAGAAGGAGAAAAGAATGAACTTCGAATTACAAGGATAGCAACTCAATCTCACTTCGAAATAAGGGTTCAAAGGACATAGCCAATGTACTGTAAACAGCTCTTCTGTACGAAGACTGGGTTCGAATTATCCAACCGGCGCACTTTTCGTACTTCGAATTATGCATTCGATTTTGACTTGAAGTGACTTGCAGAAGATCGGAACGACAAAAAAGTTCGAATTACACGGAATGTTCAAATTATACCGTATTCGACTTAGAGGGAGTCTACCTGTATAGCACTTTTGTGAGATCCGTGCGTTGTGTGTGTGTGTGTGTGTGTGTTTTTTCTCATCGTCTTAATATTTCTCGCGAGGTTGCGGTTCTTTTTTTTTGCTCAGGGCAGGTATGTTAGGTACCTCTTCCTGTACAATCTTACTTAACAACCTTTCCTAAGCTGGCCGGCCTGCATGCACAAGTACTACGTCATACTCACTTTTCATTCCGTTGGCCTGGGTAGCTACTTGCGCGCCCATGTTTGCCTTAGCTCCCCAGGCCCTTTATTTTGCGTTGTTTCTCAGTCGAGCTCTCTCTCTCTCTCTTCAATAATCTCGCTCTCGTCAATAATCATAATGTAGTCGTGTAGTTCGTCTTTGTCTCCGTCTCTTCGTCTACCCTAATAAATGTTGTTCCACCTACCTGTCCCGTTGTAGATTATGTCTGGAGGATGTTGGGTCTAATTCATACTCAACATAAGATGAGGTCCGTTCGCCATTCTTGTAGCCGTTTCAAGGTCGTAAATTAAGGAGGCTCAGACCACCAAACTCCAAAAATTAAAAAAATGGATAGTTGGGAATTTGTCCCTTGGGTAGTGCTTATGTTGACTGTCCAAAAATATTGTGGGGGGGGGGGGGGGGCACTGATATGTTCGGCGTCGCATGAGTTGTTTTTTTGGAGAGGCGTCGATACATGAAATTTTTTCGTTTTCAATAAGAAAAATCTGTTCTGTTTCCTGTTGAAGTGTGTCTTCCTCAGATTGTTTAGTCTAATCTATGCAAGCCACAACTATGACACATACCCACCATTGATAATTGTATTATCTTACTTTACTTATGAAGTTGGTTGCTCCAACGAGGAGCACACGCTTCTTGCCGAACTTGACACTTGACTGACTCACGACTGCCATCCGGAGCACACCAGGAGCACGTCGCACCTTCCGCTCGGCAAACCTGAAAGAATGCACCACTCCCTGCTCAATACACAGTGTTTCGGGGAATTCACCCCTCATCAGTTCAAGTGCAAGAAGCGTGTGCTCCTCGTTGGAGCAACCAACTTCATGACTATTACCGCCGAAGTCGCAACTTCTAAGTTCATATTGTTGTCCCTCACGCGGACGTGCGACTAGTTGTTGGAGGTGACAGCGTTGTGAATAGCTATGCTGGCTCTCAATGTCTGTTTAGTACAACTCCATGAGCGACTCTGACTCACGCTGCTACCTGGGCCTTCACGAGGTGTTTGTCGTGCTGGAAACAAAGCGTCTCTGTAAGTTTGTATCCCTGGTGATGGTTTGGCCTGGAGAGCAGTATATAAGCGGTGCTTTTCAGGCACAATCTTCCTCAGCCTACTCAAGCTCAACTGATGAGGGGTGAATTCCCCGAAACACTGTGTATTGAGCAGGGAGTGGTGCTTTCTTTCAGGTTTGCCGAGCGGAAGGTGCGACGTGCTCCTGGTGTGCTCCGGATGGCAGTCGTGAGTCAGTCAAGTGTCAAGTTCGGCAAGAAGCGTGTGCTTCACATTGGAGCAACCAACTTCATGACTATTACCACCGAAGTCGCAACTTCTAAGTTACTTTACTTAGTAAGTAAAAGTAGGGAGGCTTCCTGCAGTTTCATAAACAGTTAAGCAGTAGACCTCACACGATCTCTTCCATTAACACTGCAATAGTTCAACTCATTTCACAATGAAGTTGATTGTTCCAACTAGGAACACACGCTTCTTGCCGAACTTGACACTTGACTGACTCACGACTGCCATCCGGAGCACACGAGGAGCACGTCGCACCTTCCACTCGGCAAACCTGCAAGAAAGCACCACTCCCTGCTCAATACACGGTGTTTCGGGGAATTCACCCCTCATCAGTTGAGCTTGAGTAGGCTGAGGAAGATTGTCCCCGAAAAGCACCACTTATATGCTGCTCTCCAGGCCAAACCATCACCAGGGATACAAACTTACAGAGACACTTTGTTTCCAGCGCGACAAACACCTCGTGAAGCTCCAGGTAGCAGCGTGAGTCAGAGTCGCTCATGGAGTTGTGATAAACAGACGTTGAGAGCCAGTATAGCTATTCGCAACGCTGTCACCTCCAACAACTAGTTGCACATCCGCGTGAGGGACAACAATACCAACTTAGAAGTTGCGACTTCGGCGGTAATAGTCATGAAGTTGATTGTTCCAACT